GGCAGTACGATCTCCAGCTGCCGAGCCTCCCTGCTCTTTGCCTCAGAACTCTCCTGTCCTAGGTCTGCTGCCTCTGAGCTGTGGGCACAGGGACATGATCCCTTCTGTCCCTGTAGGGTGCCATAGACCTCTGGAGTCCAGATTGGGGCCATGAGTGGGACACATTACCAGCTAGTCTCCCTCACATTCAGAGGATGTGTGTTTGTGTTTAGTGCAGTATTTCTGTATAGAAAAGGTGTCTTTCTGCCCGTTCTATAGAATGAGCTGGTTCCCAGGCAGTGTGTCCCCAGGTGGGCAGGGGCAGTCTGGGCTCTTCTTCCCATCAGGCAGCCTGGAGTCCAGAGACTGGAGGCTGTCCTGAGAGTGTCTGACCCTGCAGGGGCTTTTTGTCTCCTGCTGCCAGGGCTGGTGTCCCTGGATGTGTCGCTGGGGACTCTGACCTGATGGCCCGCCCTGCTCCTGCCCTGCGTCTATCCCAGGTGCACGCTCCACCCCTGGCAGGTCCAGTTCTGAACCAGCAGATGGGAGCCAGTGCCAGCAAGCAGGGAACTCCCTGGGGAGAGGGCTGCACCCTAGGGGACGCTCTGCCTGGCTGCCGGGCTGCAGGCACCGATGCCGGCCCAGTGCTTTGTTTAGAGCCGCCCTATTTGCCATATGAGGAAGCTGGGTGGGGAGTCACTAGCACATTATCCAGAGGTACTTGTGAGCTGGGTGTGGATGTGGGACTGGGGTCTGTGGCAGCCCTGGGCTCTGAGGGTTGGACAGTGCTGTGCCTGCCACTTGCTTTGCAGACCCCTCTGTCCACTCTTCTCCTTAGCAGGGTACACGGGAGGGATCCCCTCGCAGCCCTGGCCGGGCCCTGCCTCTGTGGCTTGGGGATGCTCCCCACCACTGGCCCCCCAAGAGTGGGGCTTGGGCCATGTCCCCTGGGAGCATGGTGAGCAAGAGGGTGCGCTTCCTGCTGTGCCCTGCCCTAGGCCCAGTCCACTGTCACTGCTGCCTGTCCCTGTGTGTGACATGTTGATGTTAGGATTTTTGGGTGAAATAATCTCATGCTCTGTACGTGGACTTAAATGCCTCATTGGAAGTGATATTGGGAGGAAAACAGTTGCGAGTCACCTTTCCCACCTGTGATTCTGTTTCCCATAGAACAGTTATTTTAGATAGGGGTAGGTGGAGGAAGAAGTAACCTGGCTACGGTTGTCATTTGATTCCTTGAGTGGAAAAGTCTCACAGAGGAGTTGATGGATGCCTGTCTTGTAGAGCCAGCTTGGAGGGGTCGCGCACCCTGGGCTCGGGTTCCCAGAGCAAGTCCCAGGACAAGCTGGAACTTGGTGAGGAGGGGATGCAAGGAGGTCAAGAAGCTGATGGTGGTTTTGGGGTCTACGGGGGCCCAGCCTTTGGCACCAGGGTCACCCCGAGTCCTTGGTGTCCTCCTCTGGGGAAAGTGTTGCATTTTGTTCAATAGTATTGTTTAAAATGTATATGCTATCAGTGATTAAAACAATACTGTTTATGTAAAAACCATTTTTCTAATTCTGACAAGTTAGAAGTGAAAAGGAATGAATGGGAATATTGTAGGAAACTGCCAGCTGGTGATGGGCTGGTGTCCCCACACATGGTGTTGTCCCCTGCTGCCTGTGGGGCTGCTCTGCCTGCCCCAGGTCCCGAGTCCCGGGGGTCTGGTGGTCCTGTCCAGTAGAGGAAGGAAGGATTCCTGAAGAGTCCTGGAGAAGAGGTTTTGTGCCCTCAGGTAGAGCTTACCCCTTATATTTATAATCTTAGTTTATATAGTGACCACCTTGGAAGCAAATGCCTCTTGTATTGTTATGTACATAGTCCCTACCTGAGTGTTATAAATAAGTTGTTTTGTGTCTAAATAAAACAAGCCTGTTTTGGGGGAAAAAAGTCAGATATTTACAAGTCCCCAAAGCTAAGCCAAATCTTTGATTATTTTTATTGCTTCCTGAATTTAAATAAAATCCCCAAACAAAATAAAAATAGTATAAATGAAAAGGTAGTTTGATGACAAATACCTGTACTAAATTCCTAAATGATTTTTCTGCTATTGACAGATATTTTGATATTTGAATTTGGAATTTGGGGAGCTTCTGGTATTCATTCTGTTCTAATCTTTCCCTGTAAATGATGGAAAGACAGAGGGTCAAGGTATGGCTTTTCTACTCTTTCCTCTGGAATGATCCTTCATTTTAAAGGCACAGCAGAACTACTGCTTTGAATACTAAGAGTGTTATTCATTTGAACAGACTCTCCCATTTCCAATTTCACAGAACCTCTCCTTGAACCCTAATGGATCTCCCTTCATTTGATTTATTCAAAAGAAAATTGTTAGTTTCTACAGAAAGCATGTGTTTGCAAAGTTGCAAATTCTCAATAACTCTTTATTGTAGTATCATTTCAATCTACCCACTGGCGATATTTGATAAATAGCTTTATTAGCTTTAATCCAGTGTTCTGTTTTTTTAATACTTCAAAGAGTAGAAATCTATGTATATCAGCTTAATTCATGAAATATGCTTGGTTTGAGCTGTAAGTAACCATTGAGTTCCTGCAGTATATAAAAAAGCATTGTAGTAGTTTATTTCTTAAATAATTAATGACTGAAATAAGGATACAATAAATCCTGTGTAATTGGAATTCCCTAGGCCTTACCTGCCAAAGGGAAAAGAAGAGTTCACATTAACAATCACAGGACAGGTCTCCCTGGCTCTCACCCCAGCCACCTCATGTCAGACCTTGGCCCCTTGCAAGGTGTCAGCCACCATTTCTAGGGGTCCCCACATGACGAGTCTTACATGGATTCGTGAACAAGTCTGTCTCCACCACAGGTGTGACAGCAGTGTCTGCATGCAGTGTCCGCATGCTCTCCTCACCTGCTGGGACCCCTGTTGTTGGTGCTGCGTCACCTCTGTGCCTGCTGGGCACCTGGCCCCTTTTGAGGGGCTGGAGCATCATTGTCTTCCCTTGGTACCTGCTGGGCCCCCACTGTGCTGTGTTCAGACAGAGGTGGAAGAATGCCTCTCTCCCCTGTGTCGTTCCTGGTCACCAGAGCATCTCTACTTACAGAGATCCTCATGAAAAGCTCCTTCATTTTTCCATTTTCCTTCCAGTAGGTCTCAGATACACATCTCCAAGGCTAAGTCAATGATTAGAACAGACACTTTCCCATACTGTCCTCTTCTGTCTTTCCTTTTTGTTCTTGTAAGCTTTGACTTTCATGCAACTGAACTTATGAAAATAGATGCTACCACGTCAGACATGCGGGGTGTGTCTGGATCTTACTGATAGTAGTTTAAGTGTGTATATGCCCATGGGTATGGGGGGGCAGGGATACTGGAACCACCTTACCCAGCTGCATTAAGTAGTTACAGTGCTTGAGAAATTGTTTTATTTATTTATTTATTTTTGTGAGAACTGAAGATTAAGTGACAAGTTTGTCATTTCATTCCTGGAAAGTATTATTAAAACCTTTAGTGTAAAGTACTGTGAAGAGAATTGAATTTTTTTTTCCTCTCCTTGTCTCAGGCTCTTGTAGTGGATTAGTCATTAATATAAACTTAGGTTTTCCTCGTTAGGATCACCAGGAGATGTGGGAAACGGCTTGATGTTTACAGGCCTCAAGACATATCCTGAAAGTTGTACTTTTTTATCTTTTTTGCATGGAAACCTTAATCATAGCTTGGTTCCTCTGCACTGCCTCTTTCTCTAAAGCTAAATACGGAAACAAAAACATTCTCGTTTATTGAAAGGTTGTGATTGTTCACTTAAGGGGTCAGGCTCTTCTGGAATTACGTCCAGCACACACACATGTCACTTGGCTCTGGCTGTGAGTCCTTTATCTCACTTGCCCCATCTTTGTTTAAATAAACATTATGGTTCTTTTGAAAGTAAGCCATTTAAACACTTTATTCTACCTGTGGTTCTGTTAAGAAAGTAAGCCATTTAAATGCACTTTATTCTACCTGTGAAGCTCACTGATATGCTCCAGGTATGTCAGAAATGATTGCCCTGATTTTCTTGTCTCCAGGTTCGGGCTCTGGCTGTGAGTCCTTTATCTCACTTGCCCCATCTTTGTTTAAATAAACATTATGGTTTTTTTGAAAGTAAGCCATTTAAACACTTTATTCTACCTGTGGTTCTGTTAAGAAAGTAAGCCATTTAAATGCACTTTATTCTACCTGTGAAGGTCACTGATATGCTCCAGGTATGTCAGAAATGATTGCCCTGATTTTCTTGTCTCCAGGTTCATAATGATACTAAGATGCTTTTGATTACCTATCAAAGGTGTTTTGTGTGAAACAGGGCCCAGTGTTCCTTGGCGAGTCCTTGGCCACCACCTTTTCTCCTGGTTACCCCTGAGAACATAAGAGGTATACACTGTGGGGTGTAGTCTGCCACTGTCACTCAGTGTCCACCAGGAGCCGAGGTTTCCAGGATAATAAGACATAACTATTGAAGCAGGTCCTCCCTCCCCTCCACGTTATATGGAGGAGGCAGATGCTGAAATTATTGTGACACAGGTAATAGGGCTTTAATAGAGGGCTGTGAGCATAGTGTAGGGAGAGATTAGCTGTGCCTTGAGTAGGGAGTAGGGAAGCCTTCCCAGAGAGAGTGACGCTGAATGAAGCAGGATGTTGAAGTAGGATGACAAGGCAGTTATCAGGCAGAGAAAAGGGAAAGCACATTCCAGGTAAAGGTTACAGTGGGTGCAAAGGCACAGAGGAAAGGAGGGATTGCTTTAGAGAGGAGGAAGTGCACGGAGGTTACATTGTGAATGCCCTTAAATGCTTTGCAAAGCAGTGTTTTGTCAGAAGGAAGAAGCCCTTGACAACTTTTAAGCCAGGAAGTGAACCCTGGTGGCTAGTGTGATGGATGGACTGACAGTGGGGTGATGGTGAGTCCACCCCTGGCCACGACTAGTCCCAGTGATGGTTTAGGACATCGCAGAGACTGAATGCTTGTTCTTTTTGTCATTCTAGGTATCTGATCCCCTGCAACCACATGATGCTGAGTCAGAGGTGCGCTGTGAAGGAGAGAGACTGTTACTCTGTTTCTGCGGCCAAGCTGCTTGCCTTGACCCCTGTCTGCTGCTCCAGTGGGATCACGCTGACACTTGGGAACCAGGAGAGGGATTATATCCTCTGGTCAAAGTGTACACATGATAGTTCAGGTAGGAACTTGCTAGTGATGGTCTTTAAAGAAAAGGATGCCAAATTCCATCTCTCCCTGGGATATGTATCTCTTTGGATAGACAGGGAACAGTGTAGTGCATCTCATTTCTTTTATGAATGACTTGTTGGGGCACCTTTTCTGCTTAGTAAGGAGTTATGGACACTTTGTAATCAGTGTTCACTGACGTGCCCAGCCATCTCCTAGTCGGTGTTCCCCGACCTTTATTTTAAGTAGACTTCCTAGTGGCATCCTCAGAGTCTAAAAGTGAGCACGTGTGCTAGTGCGTCTTCTGAGACAAAAACGGGTGAGAGGTGTGGCGATGGCTAGAGCTAAGATAGAGTTAGTCCCTAGTTTCATTTCCAAAATGACTCATTTATGGAAATGTATTGTAATGATTTATATATCATTATAAAACATGAAACTCGTGGTATGGCAATAGAATCTGATCCATTTGATTGACCTAATGAAGGGGCTTTCATAAATACTATTTTTACAGGAGTTATAATACTCAATGCTCATGTGCTATTTGCCAGCTATAATTCACCTCAGACAAGTAGAATTTAAATGGCCACCTCTGTCAACCACCGTCCTCTGGCAGACAGCTGGACCAAGGGGGCATTTGTGTATCATATGGCTGTTTCAGTTCAGGAACATTTTGCCTGTCCTGTGACTGACAGGAAATGGCCCAATCCTAGTGTTGACTCAAGTATTTCCAGTCTGTATTCTGATACACTCCCCAACAATGTCATTCTGTCCACCCAGCTACAGTCCTCTTATTATTTATTTATTTATTTATTTTTTCCTTTTTGTCTTTTTTTCGTGACTGGTAACGGGATCGCAACCCTCGGTGTCGCGCCCGCACCGTGCTCAACCAGTGAGCGGACCGGTCTCTATATGGGATCCGAACCCTCGGCGGGAGCACCGCTGCGCTCCCAAGCGCCACACTCTACCGAGTGCGCCACCGGGCCTGCCCAAGTCCTCTTATTTTTAAGAGCTTGGTTACTTAAGAAGATATATGCATATTAGATATAAACATAATTTCTGAAAATTAAGGTCGTTTACTGGTTCTTGATCTTTATATAATGATATAATGTATACATGGGAATTAGCAAATTATGTGACTGTATCTTAAAAATATGAGGACACTTCAAGAAGTTCGTGGAAAAATGGAATTAAAAGATCATATGAATCTTACATGAACTATTTGATGACCCCTCGTATTTTCCTGTTAGGCAAACAAACTAGTATGGATATCTTATATTTTCTCACCCAAAAGTTATTTTTTAAAACATATTTGAAAATTGATGTCTTTTTTATTTACTATGAAAGTTGTTTCAAGAATTATTCTGTGGCTAACCTTGCCTCAGAATTAAAAATTCAAATTCAACATATGATTTTCCATAACTTGCCATCTTTTTGCCCCTGTGTGATCACATTTAATGCTTTGAAGAAGATAGTATTCTCATCTTATAGATGAAGAAATAAACTGAGAGAGAGGAATTGACTTGTTTAAATTTATACATTTGGTAGATCCTCAAATCCTAAATTCCATATTCTTCCTACTCTTTTGCCTCTGGGGTTGCCTTATAGCAGATAAATGCCCTAATGGCTGGATGGTTACATAGCTAGCTAAGGTAATTATTGTGCAGTGGTTAATAGCTAGGATTGTAAGTCTTGGCTCTGTCACTTTCTTGGGCAAATTACTTAACCTTTCTAGACTTTTTCCTCATCTGTAAAATAGTACCTGTCTCAAAGGGTTGTTCCAAGGACAAGTGAGTTAAGACACGTAAAGCTCTTAGAAGACTGCCTGGCAGGTAGTAAGTGCTCAATAAATATTGCTAGTAGTAGTTTTTGATGTCTTTTTATTTAAAGTACAGAAGAGGTAAATACTAACCTTTTAGCAGTAGAGCTATAAAACATGAATTATGTCTACTCTAATTACCTGAAAATGTGTACTCTTGAAGGCTCATTTCTGACCCAGTCTGGTAGAGATTTAGATTATGAAGAGACGTGATGGGTGTGACATCAAAGTAAGAACAGGATTTGGCGTGGAATAGCCTGTGCTTGAATTGTGGCCCTGCCACAATTTGCGTTGTGTGTTCTTTCAGCTCTGAGTCCGATTTCTTCATGTGTAAATGGAGAAAATAATATCTACCATATAGGATCATTGGGAGATTTAACTTAGATAGCATTGGTAAAGTACCTGCAACATACTAGATGTTTAAGAAATGGTAGAATATATATTTTTCCTTGTCTGAGTCTCTTTTTTTTAGGGAAAATATAAAGTTAAATGCATATGTTTTCACAGCTATTTCAGTAATGAGGGTTGGAACTTTTAACATCAAAGGCAGTCATACGGTAACACAGGAGGCATTCATTCTTAGGTTAAAATGACTATTTGGTAGTGAATATGACTTGA